CCTGTTTTCCCTCCATGACCCACATAGTTCTGGTGCCATATGTCCAGACACATTTATATCATGATATGACTTCTGACCTTACACTCTCCTGTCACTGTGATAGATAAATCAGTATGATGGTTACCGATATTTCATCTAGTACTATGCCTAGAGCTTACTGTGACTTAACTGTACGTGAAAGTGACCAAGAGCCACATCATATCCCTCTAGATTCAATGTTAATATATTCCTATTTTAACTCACCCTTGGCTGGATCCTAAAGATATCCATGGCCATCCCAATACTGCCTCATCTGAGGGGAGGAGTGCAACAGAGGGGAATAAAGAGGGAAAGAGATAGTCTTGACCCATTGCAATTATAGTATCTTATTTTTGTGAATTTTATCAACATATATGACATTGTGAAGACATCTTTCCCAGGGCCTCAGGCAGGAACTGAATAAGTAAGGAACTTGAAGTTAAGTTTTATTAGCTTCATGGAAAATCTGCTTTAGATTGCTACATATTTAGTTACTAATTTATTTGACAATTATTCTCTGGATCTGAAGTGATGGCCAGAATTTTAAAAACATATGAAAATTTCTTACCTAGTGGAATGAATGATAAAAACAGACAAAAACACAGGGACCAAGAGTTCCCAAGAAAGTAAATAATTGGGCAGAAACCATGCTCTGCATCTACTGAAGATTGCAACTACTGGAGTTTAAAACGTTTGGATTTAGATTGTGGAAAATAATAAAATCTGTTCTTTCCCTTTAGGACTACAATTACTATGCAATTACTATGCTCTGGTAACGGTAGTTAGTCTGTATGCTTTGTATTAAATTGTGTGCTATTTAAACTTTGTGGTATACATAGTTTCAATTTTATTTTGGTAGTGGAAGTTACTGCTGCTTTCTGACCTCCAAAACATTCTTCTGCTCTTAGGAGAAAGAAAGAGATAGCACTGAGAGAAAAAGAGAGGGAGGGGAGGGGATGGGGAGAGAGAGAAAAACAGAGAGATAGGGAGAGGGAGAGAGAGAGAGGGAGAGAATGAAGTACATTCTTTATTTTTGTTATCTGGTAGCTAAACATTCAAGGAAATGAGCCCTGCCTTCCTAAAATGAAACATACCCTTAAGTTGTTTAAGGTAATTCCCCTCTCCTTTGCTAGTGATTGGTTTAGAATTGGCTATGTGTTCCAATTCTAGCCAATTTAAAAGGAAGTGCTGAAAGTTCTGGGGAAGAGGGAGCCATGCTTTACTTTTGAGACTTAGAATGGCAACTAACTTCTAATCGTGAAAGGAAAGCCTAGCGGAAGCAGAGAAAATGATTCAAATCTCTGAATTAACCAATTCTGCAAGCTCACCTATGGACATCCTGTAACATCAGGTGAAACATGTCACTTCTAGTCTGACATTTCTTACTACAGCAGAAAGCATTCTAACAGAAATAGTGACATGTAAAATCATACAAACACACACATATAACATTTATTATTTTTTTCTCATTATGAAAGCAATATGTGTTCATTCTGGAAATTTGTAATTATAGGTATTCACAAGAAAGAAGATTGAAAAAACCACTTAGAGATAACAATATCAATACTTTTTACATATATTCTTCTATTGTTCCTATATACGCATTTTATATGTTATATAACTTTAAAAATTAGGCTTATAGTTCTAAATTTGATTTTTAAAACTTAATAACTCTAACAATTAAATTGAAGATTTAAATAAATTAATTTTAGTTAGAGATTAAACTTGACCTTATTCTTTTATTTAGTTTCCTATGGACACAATTTATAGTAATTAGAAAAGCTCAAAGAATTGGCTCAACATTTGAAACTAGGCTAAAGGTTAAAATAGATGAAATTCTAAACATATTTTAACTGCCCATAAATATTATCTTTATGACTACAAAGTAAATTCTGAGACCAGGTCACTTTAAGGAAATTCCTAACTCATTTATACTGATATATGCTCCTTAGAAAGTAATGTTTGTGATACCAATTCCTCTTCCAGTATTTTTTTTTTCCTTCTTAACTGTTATAGCTCTGTTTCTTAGGCTGAAATTGAATTAGTGCAATCTTTCTTCAATTCATTGTCATTCATTTCTGTCATTTGTTTACTAAATTGAATTGCAAGAGGAAACCCAAATTATAGCCAGTTTTATATGTTAAATAAAGGAGACAGCCAGGATAGAATCTTAATTATCTATATATTGGATTCACTCTACAGAGTATATCCATTTTTTTTTACAAGGAATCTTCATCTTTTATTATGATTGGAAATAGAGGAAATGACTGTAATATCAAATATTGAATATTCTCTGTTGAATGGTGTATCTTTAATTTAAAGCCACATTTACCTTTTGAGCTATAAATTTTATTTTTTTATTTTTATTTTATTTATGTATTTTTTAAAGATTTTATTTATTTATTTGACAGAGAGAGACATGGCCGAGAGAGGGAACCAAGCAGGGGGATTGGGAGAGGGAGAAGCAGGCCCCCTGTGGAGCAGGGAGCCAGATGCGGGGCTTGGATCCCAGGACCCTGGGGTCATGACCTGAGTTGAAGGCAGACTCTTAACGACTGAGCCACCCAGGCGCCCCTTGAGCTATAAATTTTAATTTATATATCCATATTATAATTTATGGACCACAATATTTATATAATATACTTATTTCTGAAAAGTTTTTCAGAACATATTGAGCCTTAAGAAAATTTCTAAGTCTGAAATGGTGAGTAACCAAATTGAAACAATCCAGTTCAATATTAACATTATTATGCATGCATATAAACAAATGAATACATTCATTTTTTAAAAAGACTTTTATTTATTTACTTGAGAGAGAGTGAGAGTGGGAGAGAGCACAGAGGAAGAGGGAGAAGCAGACTCCCCACTGAGCAGGGAGCCTGATGCAGGGATGTGGGGCTATCCCAGGACTCTGAGATCATGATCTGAGCCAAAGGTAGACGCTTAACTGAGGCTGACTGAACCACCCAGGTGCCCCCCCTTTAAAGATTTTTATTTATTTAAAATGAATACCTCCTGATACAATTTTATTGTTAGAAACTTTCTTATACAAAATCGATGAGGGGCTCAACCTTTTTTGTGACATGAACTCCTTTGGCAGTCTGGTTTGGCCTATAAACCCCTTTCAGGATAATGTTTTTAAATGCATAAAATAATACAAATAGAAATAAAAGAAAAGCAGTTGCATTGAAATACAGTTTTGTGCATGGACCATAGGTTATAAACCCCTGCACCAAATTTTGAATAGCCCTTTAGTTAATGTATCAAAAAATGCCTGAGAACATATCTAAATAAAAGTTTCTTGAACATCTAAGAGCCAAGCTGACATATGTGTTCATTAAACACATATCCAATAAAGCCCTTAAATTATATCTTATACATTTGTTTTGCCTTTAAATCTGGAAGTAAGAATTGTTACCATCTTAGGAATAATTATATGATAAAGATTAAAGAAGATTGGTTTTGTTGTGACTTATCGATAGTATTGTGTCATCTGGTAGAACTATTAAATCTTGGTATCAATATACATGCCTTAAAAAGTTAACTTTGAGCATTTTAGCACATTACAATTTTGAGCCTTGCCCAATTCAGCTGTAGAGTAGGCACATGGATTGATTAATTAAAGGTATGGGCTTAGTAAAAAAGAAAATATGAATGAAAGAGTAAAAGGAAGGAGCTGAATGGTGACAAACAGGATCAGTGGAAGTGGAATTGGAAAATAATGTAGGATGTGGAAACACACACACACATATACACTGAAGAGTATGTGTGAGAAGAGAAAAATAAGGAAAGATTACCATTAGTCTAATTAGTAATTTACTTTCCACAGACCCACATGCTCTGGAAAATTTGAAATAACATTTCATCTTTGAGTGGCACTACACCCATATGAATATAATAGTATTTTACCTTTTTTTAAGAAGAAGTTAAATGATGGCTGAATTTCTTTAAAGTCCTTTACAAACTTTTCTTGTCGTGTATATTATATTCTCATAATTTTCATCCTCCCCCTTTCTCATGGAACAGGTAGAAACAGTCCTGAATTAAAAGAGGTGTCATGTCCACATATTTTGAAACCCTTACCCCTGAATGTGAATATCAGTTAGTTACAGATTTACAATTTTTCTTTACCTTTTTTTCAATACTTCGTTGGTTTCTTTGACCTGTATATATTAAAACTGTAGTTTTCAGTGTTCCTCTTATGTATCAAAGATCTTTTCACTTGTGCTTTTGTTTGATTTCTTATTTGTTTTTCTCAGAGACTTTTGGATTATGGATTTAGTAAAATCAGAAGATAGAAAAAAATCTCTCATATTAAAACAGAGGGCATATTATGTATAAAACATAATCAGTCTTTCTTGATTATATTTAAAAACAATGTTATTACTACAGTTAATTACCACAGACTCCACTGACTATGCAGCGTAGAGAAATGTTCTAATCCCTGTCCAAATACTAATCCCTCTACGCCTCCCCTTTTTATGAAGGCACTTCATGTTGTTCCATGTAAAGACTGGGATGAAGGAGAACTACAGTGGAATGGATGGTGAGTTGGTTGCTGAATACTTCAAACTTCAGAATGCTTTTGAAATTAAAAAAAAATTAGATTCATTGCATTATTTTTTAACCAGAAGAAGGAAGATTGATCTTATGGGTAGGGGAAATACTCTCTCTGTGCTTTAGATATTATTGTAGCATAAGATGTAATTGCTGCTAAGCCCCTTGGGAAAAAACTCTCAAGGACATGCCTAGGTTAAGACTGTGTTATGGTTTCTCAGCCTTACTTTTTGGAATCTCTTTGCCTTAGGCCATGGCTGTTTTAAATATTTATACATTAATAGACAAGGAGAAAGTGATAAGAAACCTATGTAATGTGTTATAGGAGCCCAGACATTAATTCAAAAGTTTATGATTATGAGGGAATATTTTATTATTTTTCTTGAATTTTCTTTTTCTTTGTGTTTGTATTTTTTTTAATTTGCAATTGAGTTTCTGACAATGTGATTTTAAAAAGAAGGATGTCAATATAAACTTAAACTCTGTTTTGTTTGTATGTAACTGTGCTGCCACCTTTGTGTTTCTTATTCCCATTTGATGAAATTCACTACCTTGCTGTTCTTTGTATGACTTTCTACATAGTCTATCAATTACAGAGAGAAATATCCATATATAAGGGGATCAAAGCATGGATTTAAAAGAGCAAAAAGAAAGAAGAAGTGATTTACTGGATCTGACACCCTATTTAACATTTCAGGATCAAACCAGTACCAAATTCCTAGGACATAGTAGGGGGTCCAGCAGATAGTAAATGAGGTGGCAAATGCAACTGTCATCTTTAGGGTCCTCAGCCGAGCTCTTGGTATATTATTCTTGGATTGATTCAGTTGTAACTCTGTTAGATAGAGAAAAAAGTAGGTGTTTAAAGACCAGTTTTACTAATGATGTAATGTATGATGACTAACATAACATAATAAAATAAAATTAAAAAAATAAAGACCAGTTTTATTACAAAACCAAAATGGACAAAAAGGAAGGGTCACTAATTAAAACTAATTAGTGGAACAGGAACAGATTTCCATTATTTTTAAATAATTTTTAATAATGAAAATTTGTTTGTAAAGGATATTAATGTTCCAAGTTTTCCACTATGTCATATAATGAATAGAGAAGATTAAAGATGACAGTGCTCTTAAAAGTAAATTTTCACCGAATTAATTTGGATTTGAAATGTGTGGGTACTCAAACTCTTAAAACATAAATTTAAGAGAGTAGACTAAAGTTGAGCTGAATTCAATTATGTGTTTACACAGAACTATACTTACTATCTGAGTATCTCTGACAGTATGGATGATGAGAATCACGCATGGATGAAAGTGTGTTGTCCAAATTTATCTTTCTCAACCATGTGCTTCTCTCTATGGTATTCAAAATAATTTCCCTTTTCATATCAGTAAATCATTTAAAGTTCACATGTATGTGTGTGTGTGGTGTATGTGTGATATGTGTATGGTGTGTGTGAGGTGTGTGTGTGTGTTATATATGTGGTGTATGTGGGCTCTGTGTGTGTGTGTGTGTGTGTGTGTAAATTCACTGGAGTTTAATGGAAATGTGGACTCTAACAGGCAGCTTGCATTTAATTGAGCACGTAGTTCTTAACTGCAGTTTTAAAGTACCTAAAATCTGTTCTTGTATTTCATAATCCAGAACTGCTATTTTAAAATAAAAAATACCCTTCACATGCTATATTTTTTTCTGAGGGAACTAGATCATGCTTTTCAGAAGTAGCCATTTTGCAACTTCTTACTCACTGATCACAAAAGAGTGGAAACACGGAGGAAAAGATTTACATGTGTGATATTTTAATTACAAAATCAATTTTTGACTAGAAATGTTAAAATCAGTAATTTATTGAGTACAGATTAGTTGTAGATTTCTGTCATACAAACCTAATTATCATTTACTGTGTACCTTGCTATGGGTCTTGTTCTTTTCACACATTATTTCATTTAATCCGCAATATCTGTAAACTTTAATGACATAAGTAATAAAGCAATAGGAATGAACACATTTAAAAAAGCATTTTGGCTTAGCACAGGGGCTGAATCTGAAAAAATGTTGAGCCTCTTGTAACATAACTGTCCTTCCACCTATTTTGAGATATCATCACATTTCATTACTGGTTTACTGTTTTACTGTCTTCTTCTAGACTGTAGACTCCATGAAAGTGGATAGTTACTGGGCTATTTTATTTACCACAGTATCCACATCTATCACCATTTCCAGCAATATTGAGTACTTAGTACATATTGGTTGAATAAAGAAAAGATTGATTAACTAAATCTGTCTTAGTAATATTTAACTATTGCTTCTTGCCTCTTCTGTTTTGATTCTCTGCTTCTGCCTAGCTCGCATTTTTTCAGATTAATCCCTATTTGGGGTCTATCTTCTTATTCTCCATGTGCCCTTCTTCGATATCCCTTACAGAACTGACTTTCTCTGGGGTAAGATTTTGAGGGCAAATGTTTTTGCAGTATACTTCTTAAAAAGTATCAAATACTTTTTGTTCTGGGAACTGCCCCAGTATCAGTTCTAGAGGACAGTACCGTAATTATCTCCTTGAGAAAGTATCTGCTGAGAGTAATCACACTACAGTAAATAAGATGATTTTCCTGTTAAGTTGTACCATGTATAACTTATGTGCCATGCCATTGGTAACATGTCTTTTGGATGTCATGCCAACATAGACATATTTACTTTGCAAATTCATAAAATTTAGTTTTCGAGGTCGTACCAAGATTACGGAAAAAAGGCAAACCACAGCTGTGAAGATTCAGGTGAAAGAGTCAGTGACATATTCAACAGCATTTCACACACCAGCACACGCACACACACACGTGCACAGTTATGTTGTGTGGAATAGGGCTTTGAGTGTGAAATGGAACCGCTTAACTTTAATGAGTCTCTTGACTACTTTTTAACAAGGTGTGCTTTGCGATATTCTAGAAATCAGGTGTTTGGTATAGTGTTGTGGTGGGCCCAGCAGGAGCAATTTGCTGATGCTTATACTGGGTAACATGAGGTAATTGTTCTTTCGTTTTTAATTTCATGGTAAAAATTTGGAACATTGGGAGATACCAAATTACCTCATCTGTAAACTGGGGATAGTAGAGGTATAATAAAAGTATTACCTCATGGAGTTACTGTGAATATTAAATATGCAAACTGCTTAGAATAGTATCTGGCACCTAGAACATGACACTGCGCTGAATATTGCTGTTTAAAACCTGTTTACCCATGATTAACACCGCATCTAAGGAATACGTACTGTGGGGATCCTGATGAAGGACCTGTGTCAGGGTGAAGATGATTTTTGCATTGCAGATTAACGTGATGAGAAGAGGGATGATGAAGAGGCAGCTGAAGGTGAAGAAGTTATAAAAGGCTTGATGCCACCATCGTGGAAAACTGCAGTGTGTTACACATTGAGAGAAACCTTCTGTCTGTCCAGAGCTGTCTGCTAAGTGGATCATCCTGAAGATATATAACTGTATGAGAAAAGAAAAAAAAAAACTGAAAAATGGCGTTACTTTCTTTCAAACAGTATTTGCATGTTTTCTTGAAAGCTTTTTCCTTCTGTGTTCTGCAGGCCTTTGAACATGTTGCCCAAAGCGACAGCTCAGCACCTTGATACTATCCCTTTGGCGCTTCAGTGAAAAGTTGTAAGTGGATCTTTACTTAAAATATGTTTGGGTAATGTGAATGGATCTATAGGATTTTGGATTTTTTGGAAATTATTTCAACCTAGCGGAAAATCAACCAAGGATTTAAACACTGTTCGTATTTCAATTTCAGACGCAATTATGTTGAGTTAGGTTTTTGCAAGTGATTTTGTCTATCATTATATCTGCAGCACCCAAAACTTTGTCTAACAGAATGTGCCCCCAAGATACATATTTAAATTTTATTTTTGAGACAGAAAACCCCATTAAAATGGTCAAAAGACATGAATAGACCATTCACAAAAAAAGATAACAGCAGTGCCTTTCGGCATATGAAGAGATGTTCAACCTCATTTGTGATAAAATGCCAATTAAGGCTACACTGAAATGGCATTTTTTACTCTCAAGATTGGCAAAAATGAAAAATAGCAACACACTCTCATGGCCAGGTTGTGGGGAAAAAATACTCTCCCACATTTCTAGTAGGAATGCAAATTGGCACAATCCCTATGGAGAACAATTTGGCAATAAGTAGCATAACTACATCTTCATTTACTTTTGACCCAGCAATCTGATATCTAGGAATTTACTCTGAAGATACACTCCTACTTCCATTATATGAAAATACATAGGCACAAAGTTATTCATTGGTTCATTGTTTGTAATTGAAAAACATTGAAAATAATGTAAATACCAATTCATAGAACAGTAGCTGAATAAAATCCAGTGGACCACACAATGGAGTGCTATACACCTACAGAAAAAGAGTAAGGAAAATCTCCATGTAGATTTCTGTGCATGTGTGCGTGTGTGTGTGCGTGTGTGTGTCTGTGGGTGTGTACTTATTTTCTAGCTCTGTCTGCTGGGAGCTTAGGAACAATGACATCCTACTGGCAGTAAGCACATCCAGCACTCTCGTACCAAGGTCTTGTTTTCTAAATGCTATTCTCTACCAAAAGGAACCAGAGCTCATTGGAGAAGTGGGTGAGTCCCAAGGGTGGCATAGGCAAACTACAATATGTGCTTGGAACAGCTTGTGCCAAAAAGCCAGGAAGTACTAAAAGAATAGAGGAGCATGTCAGGAAGAGCTCTGGAGCCAGCTTGAAAGAAAATCTGGGACAGTGTCAGCATTGACAACAAAACCCCAAAACCAAAAAACAAAGCCCTGATAAAAAAGAATGATTAACTGTTGAGTAAAGGAAGAATCCACAAGTCCATGCTGATATACATTACAAAAAAATAACACCAAAGAAATGGGGAGGGGAAAAAAAATCTTTACTATTGTAGAAAGCCAACTAGTAAATGTATAAGGAATAATGAAAGTAGTGATTACCAAATGGTAATAATAAATGATTCAGGCAAGAATCATCAATGGATAGTAAAAACATGGGTGAAGTTTGAGGAGAACAGGATATTTACATAATTTATAAGTATCTACCTTCAAGATACTTAGTCATTATGAAGAATAAAATTAATAACTTGACTGTAGAGAAATAACCAAATTATTAAATTAACATTGCCAATAATGGGGCCAATGGACAGCAGCTGCTTCCCTATAATGCATTGAGAAGTACTCACCATCACTTCTTTGGTATTTCTGTTTAAAGTACATAACCTACATCTAACCATGAGAAAACATCAGACAAACTCAACTAGAGGGGCATTCTACAAAATAAGTGGCCTGCACTCTTCAAAAATGTCTATGTCATGAAACACAAAGAGAGGCTGAGGAATGGTTCCAATTTAAAGGAGGCTAACGAGATGTGGCAGCTAAATCCAATGCATAATCTTGGATTTTCTTTTGTTAAAAGGGACATCACTGGGACAATTGGTGAGATATGAATAAGTTATATAGATTAAATAATAGTATTTTTTCAGTACTAATTTCCTGATTTTGATACTTGTACTGTGAGTATGTGCTGGAAAAAATACATTGAAGTATTAAAAGGGACATCATATCTGAATTTACTTTTAAACAATTCAGAAAAAAAAATGTATATAGGAGACGAAGCAAATAAACAGATGCAGTAAGATGTTAATATTTGGGGAAGCCCAGGGAAAGGTATTCCAGAAATCTTTGTATGATTCTTGCAACCTTTCTTTAAGTGTGAAATTATGTTTTTCTTTAAATCACAAATTGTATCAACTATTAAACAAACGTTGCAAGTAGTTTTCAAAAAGAAGTTCTAGTAGACATTTACTCATTCTTTCCTCATTTATCAAGCACACTTCTTATCCAGTCATTTCTAAGCTTTTCCACTGAGAAACTTCATTTTACTATGATGCATTATTAAAATCAAAAGATAAGGGGCGCCTGGGTGGCTCAGTCGTTAAGCGTCTGCCTTCCACTCAGGTCATGATCCCAGGTTCCTGGGATCGAGTCCCACATCGGGCTCCCTCCTCGGTGGGAAGCCTGCTTCTCCCTCTCCCACTCCCCCTGCTTGTGTTCCCTCTCTCGCTGTGTCTCTCTCTGTCAAATAAATAAATAAAATCTTAAAAAAAAAAAAAATCAAAAGATAAGAGTGCCCAAGCACTGTAAAACTAATAGTAAATTCAAACAAAATGTTACAGGATTTTAAAAATTTTAAGCAAATGAGGGACAGTATTTATTTTTTAAAGTTTCTGATTGAATAAATAAATTTTAATTTAATTTAATTAATTCCACAGGCCCAGGATTTCTTTCCTTTTTGAGGTATTGGAATGGGAGTAGAGTGTGCCTTTAAAAAAAACCCCTATATTTACTTTCTTTGCTTGTAGAGTAGAAAAATTTAATAAAATATAAATATGATAAGCAATAAATAAAATATAGTAAACATAATATAAAATATAATGCTGTATCTTTTATTTGTAATCAATGTTGATTTTCAGTTTCAGATCTTTTTTCAAGGGCAAAATAGTATTTTTAAATTAATCCACTAGAGGGCGCCCAATAATCATATAATCAAATTTAAAGTTCAGAAACTCAAACACCTATTCAGCTAATTTTACTTTACAATCCAGACCAACTTTTTCCACATCACAAAGTAACCCTTTAAATTTTCCATACTTCTTTGCAACCTGACCTTATTTAAAATTTAGTTTTTAATTTGGCCCCACAGATGTTGTGAGTTGAAGTCTTTAGAAGGATTACTTCACAAAGAACCTGAGAATCTAGTATTTCTTTAAAACCTTAGCTACTTCTCTCCCCATCTTCCCAATCATACTTGGACCCAGATGACCCAAGTTTGACTTTCTGTTTTGCACTGCTCTGCTGCATTTCACTTTAATGTTTCATGTTTTTAAATCATAATGATGAAACTTTCAATAAAATGACTTTGAAATAGGGCCATGATTTGAGCTAATGGTTATCTTTGTTTAATAAATGCTTATTTTTTTTTTGTTTTGAGAGAGAGAGAGAGAATGTTCATGGGTGTGGGGGAGGGACAGAAGGAGAGGGAGAGAGAATCTCAAGCAGACTCCCCACTGAGCACAGAGCCCTTCACAGGCTCCATCTCTCGACCCTGAGATCATGACCTGAGCTGAAATCAAGAGTCTGATGCATAACCAACTGAGCCACCCAGGCACTCCAAATGCTTATTGTTAAAGCAACTACTTGGTCAAAAACTATACTAGGTGCTCTCTGTCATAAAAGATGAACCAGATATATCCTGCTCTCAGAGAATTTAAAATTTAGTAGGGGAGCTATAGCGTGTATGTGACACCTGTCACATAAGGAAGACTGTTGTGAGTTCTAAAAGAGTGATACAGTAGAGTGTTATGGTAACTCAGAATCTTACTTGCCCATGAATAAGCTGAACCTAGCTTATTTTGTGCTCCAAGGCCATGTTCATTGGAGTGATTAATATAGGGATCCACTTTACTTCCAATGTTTTTTTTTGTCCTTGGATTATAATTCTTTAATTTCTTAGTTTCTCCTTTCTCATCCTTGGCTCCAGTTCTCATCAGTGTTTGCTTTATTTTGCCATAAACAAGAGCAATCTATTTTCCTTCTTTAGAGTCATTTGCAGATGCTTCTTAGAGTATTGTTTTTAACCCTCACCTTACCCCAGATTAATTACATTATCACTAATCTTTTCCAGTGGTAATTATCTTTAGATGATGTGCTTCAGTTTCCTCCTCTATACAAATGGAGATATTAATGGTATTTACCGCTAGGAGTTGTCAAGACAATTACATGAGTTAATGCTTGCAAAGCACTTAGAATAATGCCTGGCACACAGTGCTGTAAAAGTTGTAACCATTATTATTATAAAAATTTCAAGGCACACAACTTACAAATGTGTATTCATATGTATTTATTTATATATTTATAAATATTTACCATATATTTTTTCCTGATAGCTTCTTAAACATCTCTTCTCAACTTAAGACTTTCCTGCCTTTTCCTTCTCTAGTCTCCTACAGGAAAAAAAGAAATAGACAATATTGCATAGTGTGATATAGTGTAGTAGCTAAAAGCTCTGGGGATGGAGTTAACTGGATGTACTAACATCTGCACTTACTAGACTATAATCTTGGGCATTTTATAGAACATTCTTAACCTTAGTTTCTGTATGAATAAAATAAAGATAATAACTGTATACAATATATAGGGTTTTTGGGAGCCTTACATGAAATAATGCATGCAAAAGGATTTAGCACAATTCCTGACACATATTTATATCTTCCATAAATGAATATTTATCATCATTGTTGTTATTTATTTATTTGTGTTTATTGTTGTTATTTATGTTATTAGTATGCTACTCCTTTGTTCCAGTATAGTTCGTGGCATATTGTACATGTATTATGGGAATTGATTGGATTTAAACTGTTTGTCAAGTTCA